TCTCTCCCCCTTGCCCCCCCCCCCCCCCCCCGGCGGTCCTGGCACTGTGCCCCACTGTTCCACAGCTGGTCACACATGTGGCTCCGTGGGCTGTTGATGGGCCTTGCACCTAGTCAGTCATGCACCACCTGTCAGTAGCCCACGGAACCACATATGTGACCAGCCATGGAAAACCAGGGCGGGATGTGGGGCAGTGGGCAGCAGCGTGGAGTGGTTGGTGGCAGAGGCCGCATCCAAGGCTCCAGATCTGAATCATGATTCAAAGCTTTGCACAGTCCTAATGGCCAGGCTACCTAGTACAGTGCAGGAGCCCCAGCCCAGAGCGGGGCAGTACCACAGATTGCGCCCTCCTCCTCCATTCAGTTAGCACCAGGGCCAAGCTTGCCCTGCTGCCCTCATGAGCCAGAGCTCCTGCAACTGCCACCACCACCAGCTGCTGCTGAGCAGGCAGGAGACACCTCACCTTGGCAGCCATGGGGGTGCGACTGGCACAGGGCTTCCAGAAGTGGTGGCACTGAGCTTTCCTGTTATGCTCCACCCTCCTGCACCAGGTCCTGCCCACTGGGCCATGGATGCGGCTCCTGCTTGATGCCAATCTGGCCAGGCTTCACATGCCCCCCATCCCCTTTGACACATTGCCAGTGGTGTTCCCTATGTCCATACAGCCCCTGCCCCACACACTGAGGAGCTGGGGCCTGGGGGGGGCAGCTGGGGACCCCTTCTGGCAGGGCTGGGGGTGGGTAGGGGGCTGTGGGTCGGGAGTGAGGGGCAGCAGCAGAGCTGGGGGAGGGGCTGAGGGCTGTGGGTCAGGAGTTAGGGCACTGGTGGGGACAGGGGGCTGCATGCTGAGAGTGAGAAGTATCAGAAGGGGCGTGGACAGGGGGCTGTAGGTCATGAGTGAGGGTCACCAGCAGGGCCAGGGGGCAGCAGGTTGGGAGTGAGGGGCACCAGTGGGGACAGGGGGCTGTGGGTTGGGAGTGAAGGGCACTGGCAGGGCCAGGGGGCTGCAGGTCAGGAGTGAGGGGCACCGGCATGGGTGGGGGAGGGGGCAGGGAACTGTGGGTCAGGAATAAGGAGCACTGGCGAGGCTGTGGGGGGCTGTGACTTGGGAGTGAGGGGCAACAGCCTGGGTAGGGGCGTGCCGCCAGCGTATCAGGGCTGCTCAGTGCCACAAAGCAGATGCAGGGGGGTCAACCACAGACAGACCTGCATTCCTGGTGAGTGAAGGGGTCGTGGGGAGCTCTGATTTTCCATGATAAAAAAACCCAAAATCAAATGCTGAAATATATTGGTATTTAGAATTTATTTTATTATAATGACTGAGGCACTGGTAGATTTCCACATTGCTTTAAAATTGAAAATATATCAATAAAACACATGCTTGATGGCTTCTGTGACATGTTCTAATTAGAACATGTTGGAGTATATTCAATTAATTGATTAGTTGAGTCTGCTGGAGCATTCTAATCAGCATGCTCCAGCAGCCTTGGCATCATGTATGTTCAATAGAGGTGCACCGATACATTGGTCCATATCAGATCAGCGCTGATAAAAGGAAAATTGACAATAATGTTACTGATAAATACCATGCTGCACTTGCAGCATCCACATGCACGGAGCCAGAAACGTAGCCCAACAGCTTGGAGAGCAGCATTCAGCCATTAAGTCTGTGGGAGGGAAGGGGCGGGGCAGGGGTGGGGGAAACAAATCAAGGCTCCTATGATGAGGGAGGGAATGGGGCTGGGGCAGGCACTGCCCAGCCAGGGCTGTATGGAGGACAGAGCCACAGGCCGCTCGTCCAGGGGCAGTAGGAAGGGCGGGGGTTGACTCCCTGCTGCTGCACACACCCCTGGGAGAGGCATGGGGGACTTGTGTGTTGGGTGAGGGCTGGATGCCTGCTGCAGGCTTGGGGCCAGGGGCTGCACTGGCCACTTCCCAGTGGAGAGGCTGAGCTGGGGTGCATTTAGAGCAGGCAGGAGCAGGGTGGGTGGTGGTGCTGGCAGGGGGGGCTCTGGATAGGCTACAGCCACCCCAAAATTTGCCATTGCCTCCCCCCAACTCCTCCCAGTGCCACGGCCGCCCACCCTGCCTCCACCCGCCTTGATTATAGCCCTGGCCCAGTCCCTGCCGGGAAGAGGCCAGCAGAGCCCCTGGCCCCAAGCCTGCAGCAGGCAGCCTGCCCTCGCCTCATGCACAGATCCAGAGGGCACATGCCCCCCGTGCCACTCCCGGGGTGCTTGCAGCAGTGGGGAGCTCCTTCCACCCCCCCCCCATGCCTGCCCAGGTTGAGCAGGGCCTGCCGCAGCCCCAGCCCCACTCCCTTCCTCACCCTAGGGCCTTTAATCTTCCCCACCTCCCCATGCCCCTTACCTTCCACAGACTTACTGTCCAAACACTGCTCTCCAAGCTGCCAGGCTGCATATCGGCTATCGGATTGGTATTGGCCAATATGGCTTGTTAATAACTGGCTATCCATACTGGCGAAAAAAATCTTTATTGGTACATCCCTAGTATTCAACATCCCCATGCTTCAAAATGGCGGCAGGAACACTTTAACTAAAAGTTGTCGAACAATCTTTAGTTCAAGCGCCCCTGCTGCTGTTTTGAAGTGTGGGATGCTGAAAACACAAGATGCTATGGGCGATTTAATTAGAGCAGCTCCTGAGAGCCATTCTAATTAAAATGCCCCACCCCGCCATCCTGGAGCACATGTAAAAACACCATTGTGTTCAATTGATACATATACATGCGTGTGTGTGTGTGTGTGTGTGTGTGTACAGACATACATATACATATATAATATACACACATATATACATATATATACATTGTGCAGTCTCCCCCATACTGCCCTGGCTGTGTGCCCCCTCCCCCACCACACAAGTCACCCTGGGCTGGGGCAGGCAGTGGCACAGCTCCAGCTTCAGCTCTGAGCCTGGAGCTGAGCCACCAGCTGCCTAAGGCTAGTACTCAAATCTAAGGTGTGGCTTTTTCCTGCTCGTGTTGTTTCAGGGAAAAAAAAACTTGTCTTGGATCTGTTTAAATATGGTATTTTTAAAATGTTCATTCTTTTGGCTTCCTTAATACAGCATTTGATTCTCACGGACCCAAAATGTTATTGACTTGCACTGTAGGCACTTTTAAAACTTTATCCCAAATGCTCCAGGACAGGGCCTATCGATTTTGTGTCTTGTATAAATATGCCCCCTTTTCCTGTACTGAAGTACCAAGCTGAGTGTAATTCTGTGCTTGCTTTTCAGACTTGTACATATATGCAGTGTTTGTGTGCTCCATAGGGATTGTCAGTGTTCTCCTTTTTACACTCGTCATTCTTTGTCAGTCCCTACTGAACAAGAGAAGATCCAGAGGTGAGTGAAATACAAATATCATCTTCTTAGTTAGAGAGGGAATCTGACTGGCAAAGAGAACATCAGGAATATGAAAAGACAGCAGATGTTCCAAAAAGTTAAAACTAAGTCTAGCAGCTTTACAGGGCAAAATGTTATCTCTGCTAAAGTTTTGAAGGAAATGGATTTCTGTGGACACCAGCCATGGAATAAAAAATGACAAAAAATACAAAATGAAACAAAAAGACTTCCATTTTGTTCTGAATTGAAGTTTGTTTTATTTTGCCTTCCAAAACCCAAAATGAATATTAAATTAAAAGCAAACTTGTTGATGGAAAAATTAGAATACTTGAAAACAGTGCTGAATCAGATTTGTTGCAAAATATATCGCTTAGCAAAAGACTGCGTTTTGACTGAAAAAAATCTGTCAAAATGTTTCAACCACTTCTAATTAGCATCTTACATGGTAGATTACAACTGCAGCTCATTGTGTTCCAGGGGTGTATTTGAAGGCATGTGCATTCCAGAGAAAGTGTTTGTCTTGTGACTTTGCAGACATTTGCTATTAGGAGTATTAGGAGCCAGAATTCTGGGAGAAGGAGGCCGTGGGAACCTTGCCCCCCTCCCTCTCCCTAGAGTCAGAATTTTTCCAAATCTCTCCAGATGCTGCCCGTGGTTCTGTCTAGCTCCCCACCCAGCCCCTATTAGACTAACCTGTAGGGAGCTGCTGCCCAGCTGTGTCCCGCGCAGCTGCGAAGATGTGCTGGGCTGGGCTGGGCCGGGCCGGGCCGGGCCGGAAGCACCGTGCCATGCCTCTGCGGGTGGGCAGCGGCGCTGAGAGGGGTGCCTACAGGGGACTAAGATAAATTTTGGAGTGGCCATAGCCCCCAAGACCCCCCTCCCCCCCAGCGCCACCATCCACCTGCCCACAGAGGCATGGCGCAGCACTCCTGGTCTGGCTTGACCCTGGCCCATGCTCCCCCTTCCCCCACAACCAGGCTGGTCTCAGCCCAGACCCTCCCCCCAGTCCCATTGGTGTAGGGGCCCCGCTCCTGGCTCACAGGGAAACAAGTGTGAAAGCCATGGTTTTGTCTCCCTGCCAGGAGACAAAAATGGTGCCAAGTTTAAAACCACAGCTATTGCTTCCCTGCTGATGACGATCCTGGGGGTCTTGATTTGGTAGTGGCCCCTGGGATCCACCTATGCCCAGGAAAGGAATGGGAGGCATGGTTGGAGCCCTGGCAGCTCATCCCAACGCACGGGGGGGCTCCCGCCACTGCTTGCACCCGAGGGGAGGCACGGGGGGCACATGCCCCATGGATTCGTGCACGGGGCAGAGGTAAGCTGCTGCTGTGGGCTGGGGTCTGCTCCCCACTGCTGCACAGCCTCCCATAAGCCCTAGCTGGAGTGGGGCAGGAGCAGATAGGACAGCAGCGAGAAGTTCTTGAGTTGTAAACAGAAAGGGCTCTGGAGCTTCCGCTGCCCCTTGGGCAGCCAGAGACATTGACAGCAATGGGCCTGGGAGGGGAGAGGATGTGACACTAACCACTGAGGGGAAGATGGAAACATTTCTTACCTGATTCAGGGACTTTAAAAAATCCCTAACCACTGCTCCTGTGGCATAGTCTGCCTGCCTCAGTGTTGTGGGGCAAAGCTGGTTGCAGGGATGCAGCTATCCCTGTAACCTTGGTCGCTGCTCCTGCACTGCTCCTGTTTAAAATCTGGATCCACCTATGTTGTTTGGTCCGGTTATAATGTCTGTTTTGATGAAGAGGGTATAGCTAATATAGCTTCTGGGTCTGTAGAATGGTCTGGTGGCTTGATGAGAATTGGAGTTAAGTAGCCTGCTGCTGGAAAGTTATAATTTGAGATTAGGGACTGTCTGTAAGACAAGATAAGCTTGCCCCCCAAGGCTAGTTTGAGATGGTCATCATGTTCTGGGAGGGGTTGTACATCATGAATGATGTGTCCAAGGTGTTCAAGCTGAGGGCTATAGGTGAAAACCAAAGAGATTCTGTTGTCCCTGTTGTATGGTTGGTATCACAGCAGGTCAGAGCACAGTCTGTTGATTTGAGTAGTTACAGTTTTGGGATTGTACTGTAAGTGTAGGAAGCTCTAAGGTATGCATCCCGGTAGGCAGGGTCAGAGCAGACAGAACAACACAGAGCTTGGTTGTAGATAATGGATCGACTGGTGTATTTAGGATGAAAACTGGTGGTGTGGAGATAGCTATACAAGCATTAGGCTTCCAAAAAATGCAATGGTGATGTGGCCATTGCAAAGTTTCACAGTGATGTCCAAGAAATGAATGCACTGGGTTGAGTATTCAAGTCATTTTGATGGAGGGGTGGAAATGGTTCAAGTCCTGGTGGAATTTCTTTAGAGGTCTTTCCTATGTGTCCTTATGATGAAGATATCATCAATGTACCTTAGGTGCCATAATTACTCCAATCCAAGAACTTGTTTTCCCTCATTCAACATGAGGGGAAAGTCCTTCATCTTGTATTTGAGTACAAGGTGATAGGGAGGCAGGTAGCTGCTGTGGCTCTGGCTCTGTCCCCAAACCTGACCAGAGCCTGGGCTGGAGCTTCCACTGCCATAATAGCTGTTACCAGAGCTGGAGCAGGGCTGGGGTCATACTTAAGTTGGTAAATGGTGGGGGAGGGAAGGAGGATGGAAGGGGCAGAGGCTAGGGATGGTCAGTTATAACACATATAACTGAACATATAACTGAAAATTTATAAATTTTCCACGTATAGAATATAGTTATGGGGGGTCGTCTTAAATTCAGAATCATCTTGGATTTCAGTAAATAAGATCTATCAGGAGGATGAGAGGTCAGCTGTAGAGAAAGGAATATATTAGCATACTGGGGGGCCATGTTCATTTGCAGGTATAGGGAGTCTCCCAGTCTGAAATAATTGCATGTGAGGACAATGTGGGAGTTCAATGAGAACAGAAGCATGTCTTATTAGGGATAATGTTTCTTATGGCTTGTAATGCATCCTCTTGGGGGACTTTGGTATACAGAGATGTGACATCCATGGTGTTTGCTGGAAGCTTGTCAATGAAACCTAGTTTCTTTTGGAAATCTGTGGTGTCCCTCAGTAGCTGGCAGTTTCCTCTCGTCTCAGGATCCAGGCCCATCACTCACTTGGTTAAAGTGCACAGGAACTAACTCACGTTGCTTCCCCCTTATCTTACCTTATTATCTCATACTTTTAAAAGTCAAAAGCTGATGTTAATAAACACTGTTGCCAGCACTGCTGTGCTCTCATTCTATTTTTATTAAGGCTGCAATGGATTAACAAGTGAGTGAAAATGTCTCCTCTAGTGCCTTTCTCGTGTAAAGCTGAGAGTAAAAAATACTGTAAACAAGAGGAAAACAGGTTTGTGCCTCTTCCTGAGATATGATAGTGACTTCCTAGGACAAATGTTTTAGAACAGTCAATGAACTGGGTCTTATGGAACTTCTCCAGCTGCTACTTTTGACTTTAACATGTTCAGAATATGGCCCATTGACTTAAGCAGGGCTTTGCTACGCCAGAAGAGATGTTTGGTCCTCCAAATTCTGTATCTTGTGTTCTGGATTCCTAATGAATTAGAAGGTGAAACCCAGCCAACATTTTCCTATATGGGAAACTGTCAAGGAGCAGTTTCATCATGTGGACAAGATTTTTGATCTCATCCACTTTGACTTTTACTGGTGAAAAGTTTCAACCAGTCTTACTATTAAAAATTAACATGTCAACACACGTCTGTCAGTTTTTGAAAAGTGCCAACATTTCAAATAAGCTTATTAAATTTTGAAGTCAAACCTTTTTCAATACGTTATGTTTTTTACCAGCCATACTAAGAGGACTTGTACAAAGCAGGGATTGTGTAGTGGTTGTTAGCCAAGTAAAACAACCATGGACATTTCCTCATGTATTAGTAATGGGCTTGTTGCCTGGTTGTGAACCTGCCTTCACTCCCAACTTCTAGTACTGTTGAGACAGTTTCCGAAGTCTATAGCTCAGACCTTGTATATGTATTCTTACACAATGGATTCATATCAGATTTTCTGGCAGTCAAAAGATGCTTTTTTATGACTCAAGGATGTACAAAGGAAAACATCCCAAGCTGTGGCTTTGTTTCAGAGGTAAAACCTCTCAGAATATAGTCATTTTCCAAGGAAAGAATACTGCAGATTTCTCTCACAATTTCAGATTATGGAAAGGACTCCATGTCAAGAAAGCAATGTGCTTGTGGGAGGGATGCTGCCATGAACCAAAACTTACCTCCACTGCCAGAGCAGAAGGAGAAGCGGCGGCTACAGAATGCTGCCAAAGATCAGACACGCAGTGGCGGAGATGCTGCCACCAGAAGACAAGCTGCACTGGGGCAGGAGCAGGGAGAAAAGCAGCAACAGCAGAATGCCACTGGAGATCAGCTGCACTCCCCTGTACCGGCGTGGGCACATTTTGTAGATACGTGCCGGCAGGTTTGTCAGCTGGCCCTTGGAGAGGGATAAAATCCCCATCAACCACATTCGAGGAGGAGCAGAAGTGAGGCCTCCTGAGAGCCCAGAGTAGCAGGAAGCAAACAAATGCCCCAGCAGGGGCAAGTGGTGGCAATCCTGAGAGTTGGGATGCCCAGCTAAGGCTGGTTTGGAGGAGCTAGGATACATACCTCTCTCAAAACCATGGATCCCAGATGAAGCTGACAGAGACTGAGACAGCAGTGAGCCTGTAGAGAGAGAAATAAAGAAAGGATACTAAACTCGTGAGTAGTCCCTGGGAGAGCCTGAGGGAAGACACCCCAGGGTAAACACAATAATGAGAAAGGCCGACGTGAGGCCTGAATAAGGACATTACACCATCTGAACCAAGACTGAGATTGGATAAGGGCTAAGGCCCAGCCATGGCTGATTGGCTTGCTTTAGCCTGGCCAAGGACTAACATTATTGCTGGTTGGCTCAAGGCGGGGGGTAGGGAAGGGGGAGCCCTGAGATGACGACCTAAGTGAGAGACTGAAGAGGAAACCAGGAAAGGCAGGATTAGAGAACTTCCTCCTAGCAAGAACCCTTAACAACAAGACATGGCAGGAGAGAACCCCTGCAAACCTTTTAGGGAATCTCACTGGAGGGCAAGCTGCTGACCTGAAAGGAAGAAGCTGCATCTGATCAGCTCAAAAAAGCAAAGCGTTCAAACGTTCAAGTCATGGGAAATTACAGTGCCGCTAACATGCTTGGATGTAATAGCTTGCACCTCACACCAAGAAGTCACAAACACTGTGATGGATCATCTAACCACAATGATTTATTCCAGGTCTTCAAAAGACATTGAGCTAATTGTTGCTTTTGGTTACATTTGTTTATGCTGGGGTAACTGAATGACCAGCCTGGAGAACAGCTCTCTAGTTTGAGCTAATCTGAATTAGGTCCTGGGATATGGATGTAGTAGTTCCTTCTGGGTGTATATAAAACTAGAACCTTTTCTTGGCTGCCCTAGAATCAAATTAATTGCAGGTTTAATCTATATTTCATTAAATCTTGAACATCATCCAAAATGCAATGTCAACATTAAAAATCTGAGCTAGAGAAGTAAAAAATCTTAGCAAAGAGAGAGAGAGATGCTACAAAGAACCTGCAATAGTTTTAGGGCAAGATTTTCTTTTTGGGTCAATACTGTTGAATGTGTGTGCTCTCCTGACTCCACATTAGTGGGTTAGTCTTAGTTGGAGTAGCAGACTACACACAAGTTGTAGAGAGAGCTAGGATACAAACCGGCTCTGAAAATGACAACATGGTGCCCGACTCTTCATTTCACAGTGGAAAATATAATCTCCACCAGCAGGGTCCTCCTCACAGCTGACTTTCCTGGTGGGCTGTGGGGGCAGAATCTTGGTATCCCCTTGCCCGAGACAGTGTAGTAGCACTGTGAATGCTGCATTCCCTACTCACCATGTCATTAGTAACATAGCTAGGAAGTCTATAGGGGTGAGTGAGGGCTCTTTACATATGTTTAATCTCTTGCATAAGGACATACCAAAGATTAAAGTCTAGTTCACACATGTAGAATTTGACACCTGACTTGTCAGTCACTAATCTTTTTCCCATTTACATCCAAAATAAGCCACCAGTAATCTTGTAACCAACACTTGCACAGACCTTGTCAGGAAATCTTCCTTCTCCCCTGAGCCCCAGTGTAGGGGCCCAGTGGCAAGCAAAGAAGGCCCCTTTGCTCTACCTTCCTAGAGAAATTTCTACCTAGACATCTCATTGTTTCCCACAATCCCTTTCTGGTCATGGGACCTCTGTTTTATGATCCACCAGCAGCCATTCCCAGGTTCTCTCTCCCTTTTCCCAGAAGGGCTTGGGGAACCCTCTGTTGATTTTATCCTGACTCAGAACTCAAACATTTTCTGAGCTCCAAGCTGCTGCTTATGGGAAGCCTCATTCCTCCACCCCCTGAAACAATATTTGATCATCTCCCCCTGGCCAAAATCCATCAGTGGGAGGTGAATAATAGGTCCAGATACTGCTAAGTCCAACTTCCTTAAAGAGCCACCCACCCACTGGGCGCATCTACATATGCACTTTACTACGGAGTTGACTAAAGAGTTCTGCAGTAAAGCATCACCAGTCTACATATGTGCCCCTATTAGGGCACAGTAAACTAATTAACTCTGCTGTAGGATAGTACTGTTCAGGATAAGTGCTATCCTATGATGAAGTTAGCACACCAAAATGAACTTGTAGATGGTGGCCAGGGCTGGCTGGGGCATGAGGGTGCTACAGTACAGGGGCTGCCTGCTGGCTTGCCCTTCACTGTAGCACCCTTGTGCCCCAGCCAGCCCCTCCGCAGTATGTTGAGCCAGAGTGGAACAGCTCTTCGCTGGCAGGCTGACCCCCCTGGGCTCCCTGCCAGCTGGGGCTGCTCCACCCTGCCTTAATGTGCTGCAGTTCTGGGCACACGTGTTAAAACTGGACCTGGGAGCAATAAACTCCAGTGCAGTTTATTGCTACATGCTAATGGCACATGTAGAGGCACCCAGTGACAGTTAGCAATTTATATATAAACTAAGGATCATGATGTGTAACAGGTGAAACTGGAAGTGTTCTTTCCAGAGTATTAGCTTTTAAACCCTAGCCAGGCATATGGTTAGCCTTATGGCACTAACGTGAAAATGCGTGATATTGGGCCTAAATCAAACTCTTTATTTTAGTGGAGTTGCAGCTCAGTAGAAGCTGGTCTATTGCTTAGAGTAGGCAGGTGTCATTGTGTAAAATGTAATGTTTGTAGATTGTTTGTATGCTTTTACTTGAGTCTTTGATAAGGACACATAGTGGGTCACAGCTATCTTTTCCAGGTAACCTTTGGTAGAGGGCTGGACCCTTGCTGGCAGACCACCCAACTTATATCTAGAGCTGGTTGAAAACTTTCTGAAAAGAATGCTTTTCAGATTGGTTTTTAATTAAATGAAATTATTTGTGGAAATAGGTCTCGTTTCATAGAACATTTCAATATTTCATTGAAAAACCATATTCCTGAAGCCTAAAGCTTCCTTTTAACCTAAAGGCAAAATATTGTGGTTCAAAGTACACTTCTGGTGCCTTACTAGAGTATTATATTTTCAGGTGTGTTATATTTTCACACTCCTTGATAAGTTGGGCCCTCAGGCCAGTCACCATTTTCCATGAGACACCACAGCCAACACCACCTATAATGGAAGCACAAGTCACCCAGGTGACAGCTCCTACAAGACACTGTGATGCCATTTTCTAAATCAAAACCTTTGTTGGTTTTGGGTCTCAATATATAAACTTTGAACATTTTGCCAAAAAGTCAAAATGTCTTGAGGGGAAAACACCCTGTTTTCTGACCAGCTGTCTCTGTTTATATGCCAAATAGTCACCAAATAATATGTTTTGGTGACTATAGTCTTAGACTAGATTAGGTTTATAGGCATAGCAGTAGTTTAATGTCACTCATTCTCTAGTCTTAGCCATCAATTTCCCTTCTCTTTCAGGGATAAAATTCAATACTTGAAGTAACCATAACCAAAGCATTCTAGGTTCTAACATAAACAAAGCTATGCCCTGCATTGTGATTGATCATGGATGTACAAATTCATTATGGACAAGGTTGTATTTCGGCATAAAGCGCAACATATAAGACACATCATGGCTCAGGAGCTAGAATGGAGGTTTTCCCATCTGCTAATAAGCTGAAGGGGAGAGTTGAACCTGCAACACAATATCAAGTCCAGTTTGGGAACAGCAGAGGAGTCACAAAAGAACAATGCCTGGCCTTCTCCTGGGGTACTATACCCCATACTGAGAGCTGATGGTTTAAAGAGGGATATATATTATCAGAGACAGTTTATTAGACTAGATGGTCCTCAAATCTGGTCAGGTGTGGTAGTTGGTACATGCCGAAGACCTTCCTCCAGCCCTATATTAAGAACTCTATCAACACCTGTACATGAAGGGCGGGGGGGGGTGTTATTTCTGGGTTTTGGGAAGATGCATTTTTAAAACAATAAATATGTAGAGAAAATTTAGAACTGAAGCCTTTAGAAGTCGCATTACTGGAGTTCTGTGTCTGTCCTTGGCAAATTCTCCTTTAGTTGGCCTGACCGCTGCAATTTAAGTAACCTTCCACTTCCGTAACAATTCCCTAGAGTTGTTTGCTACACATTTTCCCCCAGCCTAAGCATCTCATTCCAGTTAGACTATGTTCTAATTTTCAGTATAATACATGGTTATAGTTATAACTAGCAGCTTTCCAGTTGTGATAAGTTGGCATCTATACAATTCCAAGACTGTTTAGGTTGGATCCATTTGCTGTATCCTTTTGTAGCTCATAAATTCTCTCTATATGAAGCCACATAGCCTTATGTCCTGTTGTGTTTTTTTTTCTTTAACAGTGAAACATTACCTGGTGAAATGTCCTCAGAACAGGTATGAAAATATACTTTTTAATTATAAGTCATGGCAACAATGAGGTTTTATTTTCATTAGATGCTGGAAAGAAGATGTGAAAAATTTTCAGAAGGGCCAACTTGAAAATTTAATTCTCATGTACACTTTTGGAAATCTTACCCAGTACCTTTTGCATGTTCTCTTATACACTTAAGCTACTACTAGGCACAGTGTAAATAATTAATAATAGTGATGATGATGTGAACATTTTCACTTTTACCTTTTAATCTTTCACTTGCAACCCAAGGTACATAAAACACCCTGTTCCAGACTCCTCTACGCCCCAAGTACACATCTGTGTTTTCACTGATTAGGGCCAGAAATATGAACCTCAGAAATAAATCCTCAGAACCTCAGGCTTAGAATCAGAGAGGAGTGTTGGCTACCCTGATGTTTGCTCTGGCCAGTGGCATTTAGGGCATAATGCCAGAAGGTATTGTACCCCTTGTTCCCCGCTAAAGCAGTAATATGTCCTTTCCGTCCACTAGGGAGAAAAATATACAGTAAAAGGTGTATTAACCAGCATTTTACTAACCAGAATACTCTATTAACCGGAATTTCCAATATCCCCCAATACAAATCCTCACTTTAGTAACTGGAATATTTGCCGAGTCTATCCAGAAGGCACATGTGTATCAGGTATTTGCACTACAAGTATGGCACTATCTTCTGTATAACTCTCAGATAATTGGAATGTTTAGATAACCAGCACCCCCCTTACCCCACTCATGCCAGATAATAAAGCTTTTACTGTAATGCATTTCCTTTACCATAGCAAGCCACTTGTCCCTAGAGCATGAAGGCACTGAACTGTTCCAGAAGAAAGGATGCCTAGTAGTCACACCATTTCATGCTATGCACTGTGAAGTAGGGGAAAGGCATAAACTGTGCCACTATGAATCCATTGTTTTTTGTTGGAATTTGAACCTATAAACTTGCAGTCAAAAGCTGTAATTGTAACATTGCCACTTGATCTGAAACTGAGAAGATTCTGACTGACTTACAGGGCCCTAAACCTGATGTATTAGTGAGCAATAGTCTATAGACATTTTAATAAGATGTAATTGGTACAGAATTAAAGAAAGGAATCCAGGGTATGAGAAGGTTTTTTTCCTTATTGATCACTGGGCTAGAACTTAACTTGTACTCTGATAACTTTACTATTCCAGAAAGTATCCATATAGTTCCCACTACAGGACTCAAGATATCAGCCCTTAAACTCACAACATTTCTATCCCTCATTTATATCTATCCTCTGTTACCATAGAACAGGGGTGGGCAAAATACAGCCCATGGGCCAGATGAGACTCGCCAAGCCAAGGAGCCCCTAAAAAATTTAGTTAATATTTATTTGCCCCTGGCTCCCTGTCAAAGCTGACAGGAGACAGGGGCAGTAGGATCCAGAGGGAGCCCTCAACAGGCTTGCAGGCTAGGCTTGGGTTGGGGTGGGGGGGGGGGGGGGGGGGTGGGTGTGCGTGTGTTCATAGGACGAGTCCCACGTGCACACCTTACCATACACATGCACCAACACCTCCCTTCACACTGCCATACACAATCCCCAGCCACCCTCCCCCATAAACACCCACACCCCACATATCCACATACACCCACATGCTCCCTCACCCACATACCCACAGCCCCACAAACCTCGACCCACCTACCACAATATACAAGAGTAAGACTTCATTTTAAGCTGTTGTGTAGTCACCTCTGTGTACACTACACAAACACATGTAAATCAGGACAAAAATACTTTTTGAAATCAAATTAGTGAATGTTGTAGATGTTTGATTTTTAGAATATAATTTCATATTTTTCTGGTTCTGAGATGGCAAAACCCCTTGCTGAAGAGTAGTTCCAGGGGCAAGGGGAGGCACTTCTGGTGGCAAAGGTCATGAGTTAGGGGGCAGGACTTCCAGTCACAAGATGGTGACCAGGGGGCGGGAAACCTGTCAAGGGGTGGGGCTACCCATGCAGCCCTCGACAGCTTGCCAAAACTCAGTAAACAGCCTTCCACCCAAAATAATTGCCCGCCCTTCCATAGAATCTGGATTCTTCACAGGGATAGATTCCTAACCCTTCTGTGAAACAGAGGGCAAGGCATAGTGCCAACTTATTGGTAGTTAGTTTATAAGGTGTCACTGGCCGTGTCTACATAAGACGCTGATGGTGCAGTCGTTACTGCACAGTCATTTGGTACTTTTATAAACATATACTAAATGACAGCGCAGTAGCCCAAGTTCCTGTGCAGTAGCACCAATTAACAGCTTTTTCATGATACTGACTGCACAGTAGCCTGAGACCACTGAGCAGTAGCAGTGTCACAGTTGCTGCCATGTGATGCTAGTGTGCCATAGTCTCGGGCTACTGCATAGTCAGCATCTCGTGTATACATGGCCACTGATTAGTTAGTCTTTAAGGTGTTACACTGCAACAGAAACAGAAAAAACGGGACAAGAGATTCTTATGACCAGTGAGGTTTAGAAGTTGATGCTTCATGGCAATGCAAAGGGAGCAGATGTTTCTAGTTTGCCAATGACATAAAGCATTTGTTTCCATCCTTTGTAGTTTACAATATATTGGACCTTAAATCTATTATCATTAGTCTGAGTCTCAATGCCTTTTGGCTATGGTCCTGGACTAAGTATAGCATGTCCTGGATCCTGACTTAATGTCATTTTCAATCCTTTCTCATGGGATAATTACTGCATTCATTCTGTACAGTGCACCCTAAAGTGAGTTGTAAGGGAATGCACACTAAAGCCATTGAGAGTTCAGGAGGCGTCAATGCAAGCCAAGCTTTTGGTGTTGCTCTTTGAATGACCCGTGTTCTGTGACCCTGGACAGCCACTGCAACTAAACCATGGATATAAACAGCACAGCTCAGCAGTTCTAGTTCTCTCTGAGGACCACTCTGTCTTTCTGTTTCATAGCTAGCTGCCAGGAAAAAAGGGATAGCTAAAAAAAGAAAATTAAAATAGACGGGTGAAGAACACAAAACAAAGAAAAAAATTAAATGGATCAAAAAAAGGCTACCAATTTAGAGGCAGAAATGGGAGCGTGGTAGTCAAATACGAAGACACATTGCTGTAAATCACACAACATGACTCTCTGACAATGTGCAGTATCGCAGAGATAATACTGCAAAAAGCAAATGAATGACAGAGGGTTGTGGGAAAGAAGGAGCAAAACACTATGTTGCTAACCTGTAAAAGCAGAAACACAGCAACCAAAGTGCACAAGTAAAAATACATTTTCAGTGTATTGACTCCAGTCTTAAAATGATGTATTAAGCAGATGCTTGTTATGCTTTACTAAAAAAAGAAAAGTCTACTTAAGTATGAACCTAACTTTGATAACTGCAGGACAGAGGAATAAAGTTAAGGGGGCTTGGCGGGGTTCAAGAATAGGCTGGATAAATATCTGTGTAGGGTGTTAGATAAATCAAACATCTACTATAACATATTTTAATTTTATTTTTAAAAAATTGAAATATTTTGAAATTCTGTGTGTTTGCATAGTATGTATAAGGGGCAATTGCAAAATAGCTCAAAATAAAGCCTTACTCTTGCATATTGTTTGTGGAGTATGTGTGGGGGGAGTGTGTGGGGTATAGTTGGGGAATGTGTGGGGTGTGGGTATGTGTGTGTGGGTGGATGTGGGTGTGTGGGGGGGTGTGGGGTTTGTGGGTGTAGGTTTTGTCGGGGGGCGTAGATGTGTGTGTGGGGTGTGGGTATGGGTTGTATCAGGGGGGGTGTGGGTATGGTGGGGTGTGCATGTGGGCCCCCTTCACATGCCTCCTCATGGCATACAGCCACCGGCAGCAGGCCCTTAGGGTACTCATGGCCTGTGGAAGCTGGAGCCCCACAGCGTTACACAGCTCCACCCAAATCCCAGAAGCTGCACATGGCAGCAGGGCCGGGCCAACCTTGGTGCATCAGGCAAGGCTCCCCATGGTTCACATGCAGCTCCTGGGACTTGGCTGGAGTTGTGTACCTCTGTGGGGAACCTTGCACGATGGAGCCGGCAGCCTAACCTTACTCTCTGCTGCCGTGTTTAGCTCCTAGGACTCGGCTGGGACAGCAGAGAGTGGAGCCGAGCCAGCTCGGCTCCATTACATGGGGTTTCTCACTGCCAGCTCCATCGCACGTGACTCCCAGCTGAGTCCCAGGAGCTGCACGTGAGCTATAAGGTGCCCCGCATGATAGAGCGGGGCCAGCCTCATGCTCCCACTGACGCGGTCCCAAGCTTCCACCAACCCACCCTGGCCCTGCACTCCAGGCTTCATGCTTCTGCCAGCCCCTGCAACAGCCCCTTGCTCCTGCCTTCCCTTCTACCCACCACCACTTCCCTATCTGCTGCCCAGAGTGCTGCAGCAGGGACAGGAGGAGAAGTGGGAGACTGGGGAAGCCAAGCAATTCTCTGGGTGGCTGCCACAGCAACAGCCCTACCCAGAAGCTGTGCATGCTGGCTGGGCCTGGGGCCTTCCCACAGGTAAAGGTGGGAGCTCAGCATGCTGCCTGAGCGGGAGTGGGCAGGGCTCAATCCCATGTGGAGTACAGCAGGGGCAGCCACGGGCTGGGCCAGATACAATTAAGTGGTGGGGCGCACAGCCATGGGCTAAATGAAATCACCTGGCGGGCTGTATTCAGCCCACAGGCCCATATTTTGCCTACCCCTGTGCAACACTGATGAGATGCAGGTGTGGTTTTGCATAGTGAAGCCAGATAAAGTCTATCTGAACCTTCCAAGCCTGTTCAGATTCATCAGAAGCTGGACTAGTTCTCAGGAGGTGTTTGACCAATATTGGGCTGAATTGTAGGTCAGCTTCCTCTCTCCCTACTGTTTCTATGAAGGATTCAGTGATTTGCTTCAGAACTAGCAAAAATCTTTCAAGATTCAGTCAGGTCTTTCAGTTTTATTCAGATACAGAAGCTCAGTCTAAGAACCTATCAAGTCCAACTCCTGGGAAAATTTGC